AGCGCCCCTCCCATAGAATTTTTTGCCGCGAAACCGGTACAAGGTTGTTCGTCGCGGACCACTCTAACCTCCTGACGCCATATTTTCAACTTCGATACCTGATCGCGGACCGTGCCTTTAAGCTATGTACACCCGTAATAGATAAAAGTTTCATTAAGATGCAAAGCCGTTCTGCAACTCACAGACTCCAGTGAAATTAGTGCTATTGCAGTTTGAGTGGAGATGGCCGATCTGGAGGAAGTAATGGCTGATGGGTCATGTGGGTTAAGCGTGGGTGCCCTGGATTTGTCGTGGTGAGACCTGTACTGCTTCCACCATGTCCCAGAAGTCTTGGAATGGGTGGTTCATCTTCTCCACGTCTTCGTATGGCCCTGCCTCTTACTTGATGTTCCTCACAACCTTCCGAAAGGTACATCGAGCGTTGTCCGGCCGTGCTGGATCCTGGTTCCCTTGATCAAGAAAAAGTTGGAGGATTTCATTATTCTCACGTTGCCTTGGCGCTACACGTCTCCAGTGGGATATGCCTTGGTTAATTTCTTAGATGGGGTGGTGATAGTGAAAGGAGGCTTCGATTACCACGCTCAGGGTCAAGGGGAGAAGTTTCGGATCGCCTTCCTCCCAGAAAACCAACCCTTGTATCTACAGTACCGCTTAACAGGTACCTGACTGGTTGCGAGATATCCACAACAGAAGATACCCACGCAAACACCAGGTGGTCCGGCAAGTTTTGTGCGGGTCAAAAAATTCGAAGTGGCCCCGTGAGTAGTTGAAGTAGGAAGAAAGACGAATCCCCTACAAGGGCTTGACACCAAAAGCTGAACCTTTTCATCTTTTTTTTGAGTCAACTTCAGCTTTTTTCCAGCATTATGTTGTGTAGCATCCAATATTCCTAGTAAAGGGCATGAACTAGAATTTCACTGCGAGGGTGAGAGTACATGTGCGGCTCCTACAGAATAATTCAGTGTTCTGGCACTTTTTTCTGAAATGCCTGTTCTTCAGGAGAATCGAGCGTGTCAAAACTGAACAGTAGTGCTTGGCACGCAATTCCACCTCTCATCCACACCCTTAAGTGCCACTAAAGCTCTTATCTACTCGTCCATTCACGCGTTCCGTGGTTATGACGATCGCAGGTTGAAAGCGCTTAGCTATCCGCTATTTCAGGGAACGATGTTGCGTCCTTACTTACTGCTAGTTGTTCTACAAATGGCATCAGGCTTTATTGTTCTACCGTACATTCAAATCGACTATGCGCACTACTTTCGGTTGGCGCAGTGCCAAGCAAAGTGCACGGAAAAGGTAAGTGGACGCATTCGTTAAGTTTTTATATTATGATAACCGCTGCTTTCACGCCGCAGTTCGCGCTCCGAAAGTTATCACAAGAATGCTGAGTTATGGGCAAAAGCCGTTGAGCTGAGAGGGTAAAAGCGGCCCTGGTGGCGTAACGGATAGCGCACTCGCCCGGAAAGTGAGGTGCGGGTTCGACTCCCGCCTGGGGTTCGACTTTTGCCCATAACTCAGCATTCTTGTGGTAGCATTCGTTAAGCTTCTCTACTTGTAGATATCTTTGTTTTACAGTATGGTGTGGTGACCACTCGACATCTTTTGGATGGATCAACCGAAGAGTTTCTGGACACTCGTAACCCCGACTGTGAAGCGGTATGTTGGCAGAATACCAGCTGGTTTTGAAGTTAAACGTCCAGTTCTCACCGTATGAGCCGGCTCACAGTGTTACGATTGATGACATAATTTCAGTGCGAAAACGGATGCCATCAGCATCGCAGACTCCGAGGACGTGGTAAGGGTGGACCTACTAGTTCCCCACTTCACAATGGACTACGATTCTGGGCTGAAAGCAGTGCCGACAGTGGTTTGTTATCTTATCTACAGAGTGCACAGTGTATCCTCATGGGGTACTCTGGGCGCTTTGACACAATGAAGAATCCTCTTAGAGCGGCCTTTTTAGCGAAAGCCGGTACGACTGTCATGTCCTCGGTGCAGATACTTTGCCAGAATTCTATAGTGGATGAGGAATATGGCGAGACTGTTGAAGCCTTTCTCAGCATTTCACTCCTGAGACCAACTGGACCCACAAGGTAAGCTCAGGGATATACTGGATAACCTTAGCTTAGCTCTAGGGGCACAGCTTGTTGCTCCCTGTTAAATACTATCCTGTTTAGATATGTTGTCCAGTGGAGGACAACGAATGCCCAAGACGTGGGAAACAGGGATGAGACTCAGTGGATTACAGCTTCGGTACGTTCTTAGCCTCTGGCAATCGATATATCGATCAGAATGACTTTGAAATCGATTTTTTCCAGATTGAACCCAGCAACTTCATTAAAGTGAAGGGACTTGTACCAGGAGTGCATTTACCGCTTTTATGGTCGACTGGCCGTAGGACCGACGTGCGCCGACTTGGCGAGACACTTACTAGCTCTTGGACAGAGGTTCCAACAAACGTTGTATTGAAAGCCCCAGCTGCACCGCTCACCCTGAAAAATGGTTATAACACCGATAGAGGGGTTATAGCCCATCTGGAATGGCCACGAAGCCCACAGGACTCATGCTACTACAAGCTTCAACTTAGCAACAGTTCAACACAATCAGTGCGGACATATGTACTGGTAAGTTGCAAGCTTGAGAGGAAGCGAGATTGCGTTGGGCGTGGGGGACCGTGGACGATTGCGTTACTGTCATTTCACGTCATACATAACGAAGGTAACCACATGTTAGTGTCTTTGCTCCCGTCTTTGCGCTCTCCAAACGAGAAACAAGGTCCGGCAAACATGGCTGAGGCCTCTTTTTTTCGAAAACAGGCAACCAACCACACCCAATGTAAACCGCTGCACTGTTGAGAAAATGATCTTCACAGGAAATTCTGTAGCGTTTGGACGGGGGTCTAACAAGTTCTCCATAGTCCCTTTAATGCGTCAACTTTCTGTTTTTCTCTGCACTCTCTCCCTCCATGACTTTGCGTGGCGCATGATAAATGGACTAATGTACTCCGGAGTTCCCTATCTCTTGAAAAGAGTTCATCCCGGCTCGTATGACATGTGTTTATTGCACTTCGATTGGCTTAGCCAGCGGCACTTCCTCTATTTTCTCTGCTGCTCTGGCCTTTGGCGCAGGCACACTCCACCCAAGAGTTCTAGTTGTCAGGTAACCAGTGCCCCTAAGAGTTCTACTTGTGTCAAATGATCAGTGGGCCATGTCATCACAGCGTGGCAGGAATATTGTGAGATTTGCAGCGGGTATTACGCTTGCCATAGGATTAGGTTGCTTTGCTAGTTGCGGTCACAACAATCTTCCCTCAGCGAGGGGGCGCAGACGGCACAAATGAACGTCTTTATCTGCGTTTTAGAATTTTGATGTTCCATGGCGCCGAGTGTTAGAACGCAATCGACCCTTCAACCTGGCATTTATTCGAGATTTTCCCTTTAAGCTAGAATTTCTTATTATGGATTCCTCGCTTTCATCATCTGTCTCATCTCGAATCGACGGCACGGACTAGCCACTTGCACAGCTGCCGTCTCCGCTTGATAAACTTCATTACAAGGCAAAAGCTGTCACTGCTAACTTCAAATCACTTCCATGCAGGGAAATCCATGGTCGAGGAAGTCTTCAATGCCGTGAGTTGCTGAATTTTCTTGAAGCCATCCTACAACTTCGCGCTCATTTTGTTTTTTTCAGCTCCGGAGCCGGTGTCCGATTTGTCCATTGTCGTTCGACCTAATGGAACAGGCGTAATCAGCTGGACTCCCTCAGCTGATCCACAAAACATTCTCTTCTACCAGATTGTCTACCACGCCCTCTCGCGGGAATACGGTTGCAGGCTTAGGAAGGAGACCGTCAATGTTAAGGCGGTAGGTTTTAATTGCCTGGCGTATTGAAACGTAAAGAACCCGTAGGTGAAGGGCGAATCCTTCCGTAGGGGTGCGAGGTGGGCAGGTCTGACAAAAGTGGAGGAGTGCGGCCATTTTGAAGTGCACGGCAATGATTCCATCGGTTTGTGAAAGCTTGATGCTCATCAGGTCTTTGCTCGCCATTCATACAGCGATACAGCCAACCTGCGTGGCTAGCCTTGTTGCTATGGTCAGGCGCCCTGTTGCTACAGCCAGACGTATAGCTGGCCGCGTGGCGTATGGCGTGAGTCTAGTGTGCGTATCGCGCACCAAATCGCAGGCATCAAGGGACATCAGGGCACATCGTTCCTGGGGATACCCCAAGAGGGAGTCGTATTTGGGCTAAGAAATTTTTCTGATAGTTGATTTTTCTTGTTTCAGGGACATGTGTGGGGGGTCGTACCTCTCTTCTGAGCTCCTGATAGAGGCTGCTAACTTTTCGCGGTTTTTTCTGTTTCAAATGTACTATACACCCCCGCTCGACAGCAAAATTTTTGAGTAAAAGCAGGAGAATTTCCAGGAAATTCCGGAGAAAGTGGTAGGAAGTTGGAGAAAATCTGAGAAACGATAGAGAGGGGAGTCGTATTCTCCTCCCGCTTGACAGCTTGACGAGGAGTTAGCCAGAGGGGGGAGGTCGCACCAATCCTATTTCACAGGCCTGCCTTTGGCGTCAAAATCGCGCACTTTCCTTTGGCAAGGTGCTACATTCCACAGATTAGGACCTATCCACCTCGAACAGTGCAGGGAATCACTTCCTAGTAATCGTGCGATGTACTGTGCAATTGCTCAACTGAGATCTTTCCAGAACGTGAATGTCGCTGAGGTGACCTTTCCTGGTCAAAAATGTGAGTACGTGGTCCGGGTAATCAACTACGATCTTATCGGAAGAGATGCGTCTGTGGATGCACGTGTTCTCATCGAACCTGCACCTCCTGTTCGTTTCGAATTCGAACTTCGACCCGAATATGTTACCATTGCTGCTTGTCTCGTATTCCTTCCGTTTGGCCTTCTTCTCTTATTCTTCCGTCGTCGCCAATTCCCTAATCGAGTATCGGAAAAACAACAAAAACTCACCGAATACGTCTGAGACGGACGTTTTCGACTTCACTTTTCTTCTTTTACACGGGTGATTTTCGTTTTGAAGTGCCTAGCAGTGCCTTGTAGCCGGTTCGTGATCTCTAGTTACATTGTAAATATATTTGTATATATGTTTTGTTAGCACATTTAGATAAATATTATTGTATCATTGTATTGTATTGATATTATCTTATTTTTGCTGGATTCGAAGGGGGTTCGAAACCAAAAATTTCCCCAATAAGCTGTCCCATTAGGTATATGGCGTTCACTAGAGCTATGGGAGTTCTATGACGGCTTGGATTTCTGCCATGGTTCTGCCACGCTGACAAAGGAGAGCGACCATCGGGTGGGGGGATGGTCGCTTCGTCGCTGACGTGTTATATCAAGTCATGCGACATATTCTCTATGTAGGATAACTCGTCCGATCACATCACTGATCCGTCGGGTTTTCGTGAACCACTGCGTAAATAGCAGCTCGTAATAATCAGTCGAGAAAATACAATACTATAGTGACTTGGCTGAGTTGTTTGTTCTTCCGACGTTTCTGGATGGAAAGTGAGGACTCTCTATCTTTTGCGACGGGCCAATGTTCGCTATAGTGGAGCTGCAGTAAAATTGTTGTGGTTATTAGAAAGAGTGAGAGTTCTTGTCCCTGAAACCGTGTAGGTTTCCGTTCTGATGGTAAGGTATGTCTGAATAGATTTATGTCCTTTGAGAAGTAAAGAAGCAAAATTTCTGGTTTCTTTTTCGTGTTAAGCCGTACACACCTGTACAAGTTTCGCGTCAGAAAGTTGTAAGGTAGCGGTGATAAGGCCCAAGGTTGTACAATTGACTCTGCCAAGAAGTCAGTACTCCGCCTCCGTTGATAGATATGTA